AGTTGAGTAGCTTTTCTTTGTACTTTGCACCTTTATTAAGTAATAGATCATGACCCGATTCACTAAAGACTTACAAATCATAATAGCAACACTTATTATAATTTCTGAGTCATGTACTGAGGATAATAGTATGGCAGAGTTGAGAACCTAGTGTCTTATCTGCAAAACTGAATGTAAATAAAGGCAGATCTTTGCTTCTATAAATTTGTATTATATTAGCATGTGAGTGTAATATCTTCTGGCCCAAGAGGGCAGTGATATTGATACAATTCTTTAAATCAACCTTGATACTTGCTTGTGAGTAAACATAGGGATAAGTATTTTCAACACTGAGTCACTGAGTATTCATTAAGGAAGGTAGGTCAGGTCTAATTCTCTAACTAATGACACAGTAAATTCCAAGCTTGGCCTATGGCAGTCCTATATGCAGCATCCCAAGGACAGCAATTGTGTTTCACACTCAGTCAATAGTTAATATTATGACTTTGAGGACTGAATATGAGGTTTAATTCATCATTTAATTCATGATGCCTAATTTAAAGCAAATTGGATTTTACTTTCTTTCACATCACTACTATGGAAGAAATGTGGCTTAAGACTTAGGAGGGAAAGAAAAGAGTAAGTAAAAGCAGCCATGTTAATTACAATTAATACAAAATTATATAAATATGCTTTTGTGGGAGTGGATGAGAAAGGAGATTGTTAGAAATGTGCTTCTACCTGGTCACTAAATAAAAGCAGAGCTTAAAAGGATGGAATAAAGTCTGGGTGTTACTTGATCAAGTTTAATATCTGGATAACCAACCACTGATTTGTCTTTTCACCTTCAATGTCATGATGTGACCGTCATCTTCTTGAAAGGTAATGTCTTCATTTATAGTATAAGTTGTTGGATACAATATTGTCCTTCTTAGCTGAAATTTCATGTCTCAACAAATTTCAAAATGCAGAGACTACAGTAAAGCTAACACCCCAGATAATTCTTTCTTTGACATTTTATATCCAAGTGTCAGTATGAAACTATATAAACAGTTTTTTTTTTTTTTTGTAAAAAGATTACACTGTTTAAAATTTCACTTTGTAAAATTAGGTCCATCAGGAAGATAAAGAAATGTAGAATTAAAAATATGATAGGCAGTACTCCTTTATTTTGTATCATCACAGAAAAGCAATTTAAAATCCCATTCCAGTCTTCAAGTATAAATAATTGGAACTGTACAGATCTCCGCACCTATTAGTTAGACATAATGGGGTTTTTGCTGCATAGCTTCATGAAGGCAATCAAAAATAAAATGCCTGCCATTGCAAACTGGACAATTAATTTTTTAGATCTCATTTAATTTAAAAATAACACTGTTTGCTTTTACAAATTTTGAAGTCACACTGCTTAGGAGAATTATTTTCCAGGTACTTTTTTTGTTCAGGAAAACACTGAGGTTTCTCCATACTGTTTTTACTGCACTTTACTCAATATGTTGCTGAAAGCATATCTCCTCTTAAGAGAACAAGTTGCTTTCTTTCCTAAAAGAGATGTTCATAGTTGGTTCAGCTGTTCAGTAACTGCATGAGAACTAGGAAAGCGAAACTGTTCACAGTGTCATTCATCACAATTCTTCAAAAGATGGGTAGAACAAATTACTTCTTCAATGCCAGAATAATTATTTTCTACAAATTAAAAAAATAAGACCTGATTCCACCAATTTCCAGTTTCTTTTTGCAGATCAATAATAACTTTGGTTATTTAATGTAATTTTCTTACAGTAAAATGCTCCCTTTCTGAATGCGTTACTGCTTTTGTCAGAGAACAGCAGAGCACTAGCATCATATGAAGAATTTAATCCAAGAGGATTCTTTTCTTTTCTTCTGGTGCCTTCAKCTGGTGTTACCAAATTGTTGAACATGAGGCACAGGAAGAAAAGCTATGAGGGCTGTCTGTCATTTCTATTCTCTTAGCAAAGTGTCCTGAAAGTGCTAACAGAATTATTCTTCTGTGCAATTTGTTTAATGGCAAATAAGAGCTCAAGTGTGAGGTGAAAAAAAATTCTCATTTAGATGCAGGAAAAGCTTATTCTATAAAATATGTTTTAATAAAAAAACATTGTTTACATTCTGAGTGTAAATCTAGGTTTATGTTTATTATCTTGTGGGCATAGGTGACAGAAAACAAAATTGTATACTCTGACGTCAGTTTACTGTAGGACACATAACGAGCACGAAAACTGGTTTCATTAAGTTGAAATGAACTCTGACTTTCTAACACACTATTCAGTATCTTGACTACAAAAAAGATGAAAAATTTTATCTCAAGAGACCAAGCAGAAATTGGCTGCACCATTTAGAAAAAAACAAAAGGTATATAAAGTTCAGTACCTTTGCTCTTTATGGAGGAGGAATTCTACAGTGTGCTAATAGGATTGTAACTCTGACATTTCAACACAGACTACTTACAGTGCATTTAATTTTTTTTCTTCTATTAAAACAAATGACCTGGAACATTCAGAAAAGAGAATAGTCTTGTTTCATGAATTGTAAGGGAAAATATTTTGCTTTGTGATCTTGGGGAATGTATCCCTTAAGATTTTGATTGTGGTGTTGCCATTTGCTGTTATCACAGACTGTTCAGTAACTTCAGTCAGAGAAGGGATGTATTGCAGTGTATCCTGTGTGATGAGGAGGCTACAAGCAACATATTYGGGCCTACCCTTTAATCCATATGTGTGATATAAAAATCACATAGAAGTTCTGGCACCTAAGCTTAAAACAAATTCAAATGCTTGAATTCAATGCTTGAATATTGAAACTTCTCATATGAGGCAGCTGCTGTAATATAAAATGTGTATTTATATATTTCCTTGGGGGAGATGATTACATTATCATTACTTCTCATTAGAATATTTTGAAACATATGGTGCAAACACTGCCTAATGTGGATAGAAAATACTTCTGCATTGATTAGAACTTTCCCAACGTGGCTTCTTAGAAAATGTAAGAATCAGACTGTGGGCCTTCATCAACAAGTGGGTCTGAGCACAGGTAACAGAGGCACCCAGCAGATGCAACAGTTTGTGCAGCAGCTTTCACAAAAGGGGGCGAGAAACTACTGTGGGCAATATGTTTCTTTCTGCAATGGGGAAAAAATCAGCAGGAAATAATCAGAAGCATCTCACAGAGTTCTACCCGCTGTCTATAAACTCAAAAGTTCTCATGAGAAGAACAGAGAAGCCATTGAAGACTATTTTCTGTATAAAGCTAATTTGCAAAAGTAAGAAATGCACAGAGAAAGTAACATTATATTAGTGCAATGAGCTTATCAGCTTTCATTGTCATGATTTCAATTTAATATTTGATATTCTGGAATATCTCAAATATCACTTTAATATTCTGGAAAAATTATAACTGGAACATGTGATTGAATTGAAAGCATTTGTGGGCAAGACAATTAGAACAATTGGAGAATGAGTTCTATAGAAAAAGATGAGGCTCAACCTTCATTTGGGGGAAAATGTTTGTAGGCATTAGTAGGGTTTCTTGAATTATTTTCCTTTTTAAGTTAAAAAATATTGACAAAGGAAAATCAACATACAAATTGTAGGAACACTTTCTGTGAACACTGAGATGAAACATGTTCAAACTCATTGGTAAATATAACTTTAAAGTTAAATCAGCTTTTAATGAATTAGTTTTCTGAAATAGAGCAAAACATTCCTACACAGAAAGAGGAAAGTTCACATTGTTTTAAATTAAAGATAGACTTTTCTGCAAGAAAAAGTAAAGCCATTCTCTGAAACTTTAATGATCTACTGTTTTCTGACTTTTCATGAGTTCAAATCATGTGAAATGGAGTGAGAAAAAAAGACATTGACTTAGAATAGGACTGGATTTAGCCTGAGATTTTTCACAGCGATGCTCATTTGGAATCATGGATTCATAGATGGAATTACTGAGCTCACTGTCTTGTAACAAATGGTGCTTAGCTATAACTTGTCTTCCAGAGCCTTCTAAGCTTAACTGAAGAGACTGTGAGATAGAGAATTCATCAGTTCCTTTGACTGGGTGATTCAAACCCCTCCTAGTTAAAAAAAAAAAAAAAATTCTTATTAAAATATTTCCTACTTCACTTTTCACATTTACATTATGTTTTACTTTTCTTCAGTATTTAAAAGGATCTTCATATATCCAACGTTATTTTTTTTTGTGAAGGTGTCTCGTTGGTTCTTTTTTTGTGTTAGTGTAAAACTGAGGAAGCCGCCTTAATTTCTAATTACTTGCTCAAGCCTTCAAATGTGTTTTTTTTTTTTTTTTTTTTTTTTTTTTTTTTTATCTTTTTGTGTTTTTTTTTTTTTTTTTTATTCTCTACTAGTTCATCAGGGGTCCTGAAACATTGTCTATTTTCTTCTACTTGATTGACAAAATTTTTGTTTTTTTTTTTTTTTTTTATTCTGTACCAGTTCATCAGGGGTCCTGAAACATTGTCTATTTTCTTCTACTTGATTGACAAAAATGGTGAAAAAACAGATTCTTTCTCTTCTCTTCTCTGCGGAGCCCTGTATAAGCAATTCCATTCAGTGAAATCCCCCTTAAATTGGCAGTAATCTGAGATCTATCAGGTATCCAGTCCATAATTTATTGTGTGCTTTACTGCTATTCTAAAGAGCTTATTCGTGGTCAGAATGTTATGAGATACTAAAGAGAATACAGAAAAGTGAGAGGATCATATCATTGACAGGTTATTCCATGAAGCAAACACTCTTTTCAAGGAATGAAATTAAGTTTGACAAGACCTGTTTTTCATAGAGCCATGTGGAGCAGCATTAATTTTATTCCTGCTTGTTAATTCTTAATTAATCAAATCTCAAATTAGTGCTTCCATTTTCATTTTAAATATACAAATATATTTGGTGGTTGTGTTTTGGAAAAAAAAAAAAAAAAAGATTATCTTTTACTACTGACACAGGAAACATGCTTTTATCTATCTTCTCTCACTTTCTCCTCCATTTTAGGAGTTACAGTGCTTGAAGGGCCCATTTATGCAGTGGGAGGACATGATGGTTGGAGTTATTTGAACACAGTTGAGAGGTGGGACCCTCAAAGTCAGCAGTGGACATTTGTGGCAAGTATGTCAATTGCCAGAAGCACTGTTGGAGTTGCAGCTTTAAATGGCAAGTGAGTAGGGTATGCTTACACAATTGAAACACTTCTTTTGAAAACCAATGAAGCTTAATTGTCATTGCTTTCCTTTATTAAGTTGCAGTGGCATTGAAATGTTCCTGAGTAGATCAAATGGTCAAAGCTGTGTTAACAACCCTGTTACTCTACAAGAAACTGGTTTCAATGGTGCATAAGCCGTGCAAGACACGAGCAGAAGTAACATCTAGACAATAAACATCTGGACAAATAACCCTGGAGATATTGATCTAAGATCATGAGGAGTTGCTTATGATTATGTATATATATTCCAGCTTTGTTTCTTTTGTGTAGCTGACCATATATTTAATGCTTCCCAGTTGATAAAATCTCAATTGAATTTTGCATTACTTATACCAAACATGTTTAAATTAAAACAGAGGTTACGTGTGACCCAGAAAGGTAGAATGGACACCACTGAAAACTGAAAAGCAGTGGTCTCACTGCAACAAATAGAAATAGTCTATTGATTTATATTTTTTAAGCCAAATAATCATCTTTAGTATCCCTTATGCAAGAAAMTACAACTGGCAAACAAATGTAGGGACCAAACCTTTTAACTCTCAGGTGCTATTCTTGCTACCTTGCTGTTCCACACAACTGACATGTGCTACATTCCTCGGGATATTGGAAATGGATATCTCAATGAGAAACAAGATTATGCATTTAACATTAAGTAAAGGAAAAAATATTTTAGTATGGAAGTTCTGAGGAGTTTTTATTGCTTATTCATTATTTCTTTGTTCTGCAGTGAAYTAAATAAGTAAATAAGTTAATACATTAGATTGTCTTTGAAGTGAGAGTTATAAACTATCATATGTATGTATCCCTCACACTGCTTTGGGTACTTCATATAAAATGGATATTGGATGCTAAATATTTCAAATGTGAGTTTCTTAAAAGACTTGAAGAAATGCAGTCTGTTCTTTTGTGTTTTAGTGTCGGAAACTATTCCATTTGTGATCTTCCATTGCTCTATAGTGGGCTTAATTTGTTTTCCATTTAAATTAAGAAGAAAAATGGAAGTAATATTTTTCTATCAGCTTATGATGGTAACAAATTAAAACAATTAAAGCTTTCATATTCTGATCTCCTCAGACTCTAAGTGAGGTGATTTTTTTTAACTAATTTCCTATTAGTTCCCCATGTATTGAAGCGTTTTTGAAGCTCACTTATGTAGACCATGCAAGTAAATGATCAATTATTTTGCTGCTCAAACAAACTGAATACAATACTATCTGCACTTGGCAAAACAGGGCACACTGAAATGAATGTTATTTCACTGAAATAAATTTTAAAATTTAAACTGAAATTCTTATATCATCATCATCTTTTCTAAAACATTAAAAGGACTGTATCAACACATGCATCATAACTTAATCTTGAAAATATTTAATTATTCAAGTGATAAAATCCTTCTCATTTTCTCAGACATGCAGAGAAATAAGTATCTGAAGTATTTTTACAAAAAGTTTTAAAATAATGGCATTTGACAGTGTTCTCTTCTATAATCATGTTGCCTTATTACATTCAGAAGTTGCAGTATTGTTTCACCCAGGGGGACTTAATGGAATATCTTCCTCTCACAGCACAAAGGTCACCTCATTGTTACCTTCACATTTCCCAGAGAAATAGGATGAAGTAGTTACCTCCTTCAATGAAGAGCACAGTGATATTTATTTTCTTAACTGTCTGCCTAGATGTAAGAGACATCTAGGACAACTAATAAAACAGCTAGATGGTTTTCTAAATAAAAGAATGACACATGACAAATTTATTTTACCAGAATTTCAACAGAACAATTTATCTAGTGTTATTTTACATAGGAAATAAATATTTAAGATGGGGGAAAAAAAAGGTGAACTCTACAGGGATTTGAAGAAGAAAAATAAACTGTATGCATTAACTAGAATGTCACAGTTATCCCTGGAATTCCTTAAATACCTGTCTTGGTTAAAAAAGTCTAACAGCAAGAGCAAGTTAGCTAAATTACCAGACCATCCCAAGTTGCATCAAAGGGAACAATATTGTATGGTTCATGTTGGACACATGATGCAGTACCATTTGGATGATCTTAAAAAGCAACACAAATAAGGTATTTAGTAGTAAGTATGTGAATTAAAAAGCCTTGTGTTTGAAGAAAATTAATGTTAAGAAGTGAAAGAGGTGAAAAAAGCTCTGTACATTGTAAGCACAGAAAAAAAGAACAGTAGAAGAAATCCGGGGGAAAAAGAATGGAAATGCTACTGAAAAATTGATAAAGTTTTATTAATATTGGAAATATTTATGTTATTTGGGTTATTGTGTGGAGTTATGGTATTGAAGGAAGTCCAGGTGCAATTGCAAAGCTTATATAGTGTACCATGACTGTAAAGAATGCCTGTTATGCAAAAGAAAATCCTGAAACTGTTACAGTTGGCAAAGGAACAGATGCACAAAATAGCTTCATTTCACCTAGGAAAATAGAGATGGAATAAAAATAACAGGGGGACAACACAATCATGCCCACAAAACTGTCATCAGGTTCCAAATGCCTGTTGATTAATTCATAGAAAGAGTAATATTATGTGTTTTTTATCCAACACCAAAGACTGGAATCTGAGAATTTTCACTTTCAGTAATATTTTTCTTTTCCCAAGTCAACAAGCCACCAATGGGTTGTGGGTGCCACTAACAATATATACTGAGACTTTGGAGATTCCATCTCCTTCATTTTCATGTGTTTCTTGTAGTAAAATAGTAACGCAAGAGTGAAGTGTGTTATCCTTACTATATATGTACACAGACACACAYGCGCACGCATTTATTTTTAACTTGATGTCTTCACCAATTTTTAACATGTTTTGGTAGGTGTTGTAGGACGTGCCATAAGTATAGAATTTCATGGGAAAGAACATCATCCTTTCTGCCTTGTTACTGTTATCAATCCTATTGCACAGACTGGAAAAGAAAGAGTGCATGAACTTCCTCTGATCAGCAATAGATATGGGTGTTAAAATATTAAATGTGAAATGGCCGTTTACACTTTGAAATAACTGGGAGAGGGTGGTCTTTTTCATATGCAGATAACAAATCAAAAGTTGGGATTAATTATTTGAATTCTTTTGGGCTGATATAAGTGGTGTGTAACTAGTGTGAAATTTCTGCTATGTAAGTGACATTCTACAGTTGTCAGCAGATAGTGCTGAAACAATAGGATTTTTCTACAGTATAGGTTAGAAGCTCCAAGGAATCAAAAGTATGAAAAAGTCTTCTATTTTCCAGAATTATTTTTTATTATCACTTACTCTTTCAAGATTTTCTTAATTTTCTCATTTTTTAACTCAAGAAGAAAAGAAAAATCTAGTTGACACTTTCAATCCAATAAATACTAATCATTTCAATAACTTAAAATGTAAATGCCTCCAAATTTATAGCTAATACCATAGTTATTTACTAGCCCTCTATTAAAAATTCTAATATATGAACGACACTTTCCCTAAGAGCACTAAACCTTTACAACATTAATTTAATTTAATTTTAGAAAGTATTTTATGCTAATGGTGTAGCTCTAAGTAAAAACAAAATTAAGTATACATATTTCCTCAGGAACACACACCTTAAAGATATTCTCTGTATCATACAGATTTATCTTATTCCAAATATTTGTGTGTCACTGCCATAACTGAAGTTTTTCTATATTGCTCTATTATATATGGCCACACAGACTGCATTGCAAAATATATTCTTTAGTTTCTACTGATATATTCAAAATTGTCAATATTTTTTGAAGCAACTGTAGCTTTCATGGCAGAAAGTCCAGCCCTTTATTTTTGATCACTTTAACAAATATCAGTAAATCTGTGTTACAAAAGGATAAAATACTCAGCTGTTGATATGATCCACAAGTTGACTTTAAATGGTAAAACATCATAGCAGTGCCTTAAGTGTCAAAAATAATGACTTTGACACACACTGGCAAGCAGTTCAATCTCAGGTAACATCTTGTGGAATCAAAGAGAAGGGAATCCTGCCCTTAATTGATTACCGCGCCCTCAAATATGTGCTACAGCGAACTTGGTATTTCCCTCTGCTGCTATTGTTTTTATTAAATACCACATACTCTTGTTGGTATGTAATAGATTAAAAAAGCAAGGAATTTTTTAATCTTAACTTTTAAAAATAGAGCTGCATAAGTATTCTTTTAAATATTTTGCTTTTATTTGAGAAAAAAAGGTTTTATAAGTATTCATTGTCTCTGAAGGGAAGTAAAAGAACAAGGAGAAATACTTCAAGAGAATATTATTCCCCATCAATTCCTATCTGATCACTTACTGATTGCTATCACAGGCAAAATAGGCTCGATTTGGGGAAAATTAATACAATTTATTAGTAATGAAAATAGATTCTGGCTAGGGAGAAGCAACCCCAAATATTATAGTAGAACCTTTCTTCCCCCCTTTCCCTGGCTCAATTTGTATCTTGTATAATCTTATCATTTTATAGCCCCATCCCTGAATGGTCCAGGGGGATGGGGGTTGTGGCCAGCCCATAATTGTTTCTGTCTGCCACTCCTTTTTCCTCATGCATTTTCCTTGCTCCATCATGGGCTCTCCATGGGCTGCAGTCCTTGGGAAGATAACCTCCCACTCCACTGTGGTGTTGTCCACAGGCAGAGCAGCCTGTGATTGTTTTGAGCAGGAGAATGCAATGCAAATACTACAGGCAAGATGCATAAGCTGACCCAGAGATATTTTCCTCTACAGGAAAAAACCCTTAAGCATAGATCCTCTTAATTCAATACATCTTTAAAACTGGACTTGTTTGGCAAGCCTCATCTCTCTCCCTCAAGTGCATTTCCTTCCTTTTTCCTGTTTKCCTTAGATACTGATACTTTTTTGTATTTTTGTTGAAGGACAGTCTGCTATAAAAAGCCAGTGATTTTCTGGTTGTGTCCTTTAAGTAATTATTTATTATCAATTGATAATATCAAATTTTGT